TAGCACGCTCTGCTGCGTTGCTAGCACGCTCAGCTGCGTTGCTAGCACGCTCAGCTGCGTTGCTAGCACGCTCTGCTGCGTTGCTAGCACGCTCTGCTGCGTTGCTAGCACGCTCTGCTGCGTTGCTAGCACGCTCTGCTGCGTTGCTAGCACGCTCTGCTGCGTTGCTAGCACGCTCTGCTGCGTTGCTAGCACGCTCTGCTGCGTTGCTAGCACGCTCAGCTGCGTTGCTAGCACGCTCTGCTGCGTTGCTAGCACGCTCTGCTGCGTTGCTAGCACGCTCTGCTGCGTTGCTAGCACGCTCTGCTGCGTTGCTAGCACGCTCTGCTGCGTTGCTAGCACGCTCACCTGCGTTGCTAGCACGCTCACCTGCGTTGCTAGCACGCTCACCTGCGTTGCTAGCACGCTCACCTGCGTTGCTAGCACGCTCAGCTGCGTTGCTAGCACGCTCTGCTGCGTCGCTAGCACGCTCTGCTGCGTCGCTAGCACGCTCTGCTGCGTCGCTAGCACGCTCTGCTGCGTCGCTAGCACGCTCTGCTGCGTCGCTAGCACGCTCTGCTGCGTCGCTAGCACGCTCTGCTGCGTCGCTAGCACGCTCTGCTGCGTCGCTAGCACGCTCTGCTGCGTTGCTAGCACGCTCTGCTGCGTTGCTAGCACGCTCTGCTGCGTTGCTAGCACGCTCTGCTGCGTTGCTAGCACGCTCTGCTGCGTTGCTAGCACGCTCTGCTGCGTTGCTAGCACGCTCTGCTGCGTTGCTAGCACGCTCTGCTGCGTTGCTAGCACGCTCTGCTGCGTTGCTAGCACGCTCTGCTGCGTCGCTAGCACGCTCTGCTGCGTCGCTAGCACGCTCAGCTGCGTCGCTAGCACGCTCAGCTGCGTCGCTAGCACGCTCTGCTGCGTCGCTAGCACGCTCTGCTGCGTCGCTAGCACGCTCTGCTGCGTCGCTAGCACGCTCTGCTGCGTCGCTAGCACGCTCTGCTGCGTCGCTAGCACGCTCTGCTGCGTTGCTAGCACGCTCTGCTGCGTCGCTAGCACGCTCTGCTGCGTCGCTAGCACGCTCTGCTGCGTCGCTAGCACGCTCTGCTGCGTCGCTAGCACGCTCAGCTGCGTTGCTAGCACGCTCAGCTGCGTTGCTAGCACGCTCTGCTGCGTTGCTAGCACGCTCAGCTGCGTTGCTAGCACGCTCAGCTGCGTTGCTAGCACGCTCTGCTGCGTTGCTAGCACGCTCTGCTGCGTTGCTAGCACGCTCTGCTGCGTTGCTAGCACGCTCAGCTGCGTTGCTAGCACGCTCAGCTGCGTTGCTAGCACGCTCAGCTGCGTTGCTAGCACGCTCAGCTGCGTTGCTAGCACGCTCAGCTGCGTTGCTAGCACGCTCAGCTGCGTTGCTAGCACGCTCTGCTGCGTTGCTAGCACGCTCTGCTGCGTTGCTAGCACGCTCTGCTGCGTTGCTAGCACGCTCTGCTGCGTTGCTAGCACGCTCTGCTGCGTTGCTAGCACGCTCTGCTGCGTTGCTAGCACGCTCAGCTGCGTTGCTAGCACGCTCAGCTGCGTTGCTAGCACGCTCTGCTGCGTTGCTAGCACGCTCAGCTGCGTTGCTAGCACGCTCTGCTGCGTTGCTAGCACGCTCTGCTGCGTTGCTAGCACGCTCAGCTGCGTTGCTAGCACGCTCAGCTGCGTTGCTAGCACGCTCAGCTGCGTTGCTAGCACGCTCAGCTGCGTTGCTAGCACGCTCAGCTGCGTTGCTAGCACGCTCAGCTGCGTTGCTAGCACGCTCAGCTGCGTTGCTAGCACGCTCAGCTGCGTTGCTAGCACGCTCTGCTGCGTTGCTAGCACGCTCAGCTGCGTTGCTAGCACGCTCTGCTGCGTTGCTAGCACGCTCAGCTGCGTTGCTAGCACGCTCAGCTGCGTTGCTAGCACGCTCTGCTGCGTTGCTAGCACGCTCTGCTGCGTTGCTAGCACGCTCTGCTGCGTTGCTAGCACGCTCTGCTGCGTTGCTAGCACGCTCTGCTGCGTTGCTAGCACGCTCTGCTGCGTTGCTAGCACGCTCAGCTGCGTTGCTAGCACGCTCAGCTGCGTTGCTAGCACGCTCTGCTGCGTTGCTAGCACGCTCTGCTGCGTTGCTAGCACGCTCTGCTGCGTTGCTAGCACGCTCTGCTGCGTTGCTAGCACGCTCTGCTGCGTTGCTAGCACGCTCTGCTGCGTTGCTAGCACGCTCTGCTGCGTTGCTAGCACGCTCAGCTGCGTTGCTAGCACGCTCTGCTGCGTTGCTAGCACGCTCTGCTGCGTTGCTAGCACGCTCAGCTGCGTTGCTAGCACGCTCTGCTGCGTTGCTAGCACGCTCTGCTGCGTTGCTAGCACGCTCTGCTGCGTTGCTAGCACGCTCACCTGCGTTGCTAGCACGCTCACCTGCGTTGCTAGCACGCTCACCTGCGTTGCTAGCACGCTCACCTGCGTTGCTAGCACGCTCACCTGCGTTGCTAGCACGCTCTGCTGCGTCGCTAGCACGCTCTGCTGCGTCGCTAGCACGCTCTGCTGCGTCGCTAGCACGCTCTGCTGCGTCGCTAGCACGCTCTGCTGCGTCGCTAGCACGCTCTGCTGCGTCGCTAGCACGCTCTGCTGCGTCGCTAGCACGCTCTGCTGCGTCGCTAGCACGCTCTGCTGCGTCGCTAGCACGCTCTGCTGCGTCGCTAGCACGCTCTGCTGCGTCGCTAGCACGCTCTGCTGCGTTGCTAGCACGCTCTGCTGCGTTGCTAGCACGCTCTGCTGCGTTGCTAGCACGCTCTGCTGCGTTGCTAGCACGCTCTGCTGCGTTGCTAGCACGCTCTGCTGCGTTGCTAGCACGCTCTGCTGCGTTGCTAGCACGCTCTGCTGCGTCGCTAGCACGCTCTGCTGCGTCGCTAGCACGCTCTGCTGCGTCGCTAGCACGCTCTGCTGCGTCGCTAGCACGCTCAGCTGCGTCGCTAGCACGCTCTGCTGCGTCGCTAGCACGCTCTGCTGCGTCGCTAGCACGCTCTGCTGCGTCGCTAGCACGCTCTGCTGCGTCGCTAGCACGCTCTGCTGCGTCGCTAGCACGCTCTGCTGCGTTGCTAGCACGCTCTGCTGCGTCGCTAGCACGCTCTGCTGCGTCGCTAGCACGCTCTGCTGCGTCGCTAGCACGCTCTGCTGCGTCGCTAGCACGCTCAGCTGCGTCGCTAGCACGCTCAGCTGCGTTGCTAGCACGCTCAGCTGCGTTGCTAGCACGCTCTGCTGCGTTGCTAGCACGCTCAGCTGCGTTGCTAGCACGCTCAGCTGCGTTGCTAGCACGCTCTGCTGCGTTGCTAGCACGCTCTGCTGCGTTGCTAGCACGCTCTGCTGCGTTGCTAGCACGCTCAGCTGCGTTGCTAGCACGCTCAGCTGCGTTGCTAGCACGCTCAGCTGCGTTGCTAGCACGCTCAGCTGCGTTGCTAGCACGCTCAGCTGCGTTGCTAGCACGCTCAGCTGCGTTGCTAGCACGCTCTGCTGCGTTGCTAGCACGCTCTGCTGCGTTGCTAGCACGCTCTGCTGCGTTGCTAGCACGCTCTGCTGCGTTGCTAGCACGCTCTGCTGCGTTGCTAGCACGCTCTGCTGCGTTGCTAGCACGCTCTGCTGCGTTGCTAGCACGCTCAGCTGCGTTGCTAGCACGCTCAGCTGCGTTGCTAGCACGCTCTGCTGCGTTGCTAGCACGCTCAGCTGCGTTGCTAGCACGCTCTGCTGCGTTGCTAGCACGCTCTGCTGCGTTGCTAGCACGCTCAGCTGCGTTGCTAGCACGCTCAGCTGCGTTGCTAGCACGCTCAGCTGCGTTGCTAGCACGCTCAGCTGCGTTGCTAGCACGCTCAGCTGCGTTGCTAGCACGCTCAGCTGCGTTGCTAGCACGCTCAGCTGCGTTGCTAGCACGCTCAGCTGCGTTGCTAGCACGCTCTGCTGCGTTGCTAGCACGCTCTGCTGCGTTGCTAGCACGCTCTGCTGCGTCGCTAGCACGCTCTGCTGCGTCGCTAGCACGCTCTGCTGCGTCGCTAGCACGCTCTGCTGCGTCGCTAGCACGCTCTGCTGCGTTGCTAGCACGCTCTGCTGCGTCGCTAGCACGCTCTGCTGCGTCGCTAGCACGCTCTGCTGCGTCGCTAGCACGCTCTGCTGCGTCGCTAGCACGCTCAGCTGCGTTGCTAGCACGCTCAGCTGCGTTGCTAGCACGCTCTGCTGCGTTGCTAGCACGCTCAGCTGCGTTGCTAGCACGCTCAGCTGCGTTGCTAGCACGCTCTGCTGCGTTGCTAGCACGCTCTGCTGCGTTGCTAGCACGCTCTGCTGCGTTGCTAGCACGCTCAGCTGCGTTGCTAGCACGCTCAGCTGCGTCGCTAGCACGCTCAGCTGCGTTGCTAGCACGCTCAGCTGCGTTGCTAGCACGCTCAGCTGCGTTGCTAGCACGCTCAGCTGCGTTGCTAGCACGCTCTGCTGCGTTGCTAGCACGCTCTGCTGCGTTGCTAGCACGCTCTGCTGCGTTGCTAGCACGCTCTGCTGCGTTGCTAGCACGCTCTGCTGCGTTGCTAGCACGCTCTGCTGCGTTGCTAGCACGCTCTGCTGCGTTGCTAGCACGCTCTGCTGCGTTGCTAGCACGCTCTGCTGCGTTGCTAGCACGCTCTGCTGCGTCGCTAGCACGCTCTGCTGCGTCGCTAGCACGCTCTGCTGCGTCGCTAGCACGCTCTGCTGCGTCGCTAGCACGCTCTGCTGCGTCGCTAGCACGCTCTGCTGCGTCGCTAGCACGCTCTGCTGCGTTGCTAGCACGCTCTGCTGCGTTGCTAGCACGCTCAGCTGCGTTGCTAGCACGCTCAGCTGCGTTGCTAGCACGCTCAGCTGCGTTGCTAGCACGCTCAGCTGCGTTGCTAGCCCTTGACCCTCCCATTCACGCCTCTCCCGCTCTGCTCCCTCGCCAACAATTCCCTCCCTCCTCCTCTCCGCCCACCCCCTTCCTCGGCTTATGGTTGTCACAGAGGGAGCTACTAGTGTACACCGTGACATGCTTGGACCGGCCCTTCTCTGCCTTCCACATCGACTCACACATGCCAATTCACTTCAAGGCACTGCCGTCCTCTCTCTCGCTCTCTCCCTCTCCCATAACCCTTTGTATCTGTGTGCTTTGAGTGTTACAAGCATGATCCTTCCTGCCCTTTCTCTCTCCTCCTCTCGTTCTTTCTATCATCTGCTCTTGCTTGCACCATCAGGTTCGCCATCAGGTTCGCCATCAGGTTCCCCATCAGGTTCGCCATCAGGTTCGCCATCAGGTTCCCCGTCGTCACGTAGTAATGACATTTTCTGTCTTGAGAGTGTGCTTCATTCTTACATCGTCGTCTCTGCACTTGTGGATCTGCAAGGACTTTTACGCTTGCTGCTTGGACGTTACTGGGACCCACTCACTCCTACCATTACCATCTCTTCATTTCCTATTCAGAAACCCCCTTCCACGTGCTCCTTCCGTTTTGCCTGCATTCAGAACGCGTGGATGAGGAGAGAGCATCCCAGGACCCTTCCCTCGTACCAGCGATTCAACGCCACGCCAGACCAATGGGAGCGCGCCACGTGGCCTCTCACGCCAGGTGGCGCCATGTCAGCTGATGCGCTGGCGCTGATAGCAGCGGCGGACGTGATTGGCGAGAGGACGCACTGCCACGTGGACGGCATGCTCAGAAACCGAGTGCAGGTGGGTGGGTGCGTGGATGGGTGGGAGTGGGTCGAAGTGGGTACACGTGGTGTGATATGGGTGGTTGGTTGTGCGCATGGTTGGCACAGGGGATCCGTCTTCCCCCCGTGCCTCTCTATACCCTCCGCCTCTCTTCACTGCACTTCCCTTTCTCCCCTGACCTCACCCCTGCCCCCACTGCCATCACGCTTCTTCCCGCCGCAATTCGCGTCGCCGCACTCCCCCGCCGCTGTCAGCTGCGCATGGCGGGGCTGGCAGCGCTGGACGTGATGCAGCGCGCGCGGCGCTCATGGGAGGCCATGGCCATGGCACGGGCACAACGAGGGGAGCAGCAGCAGGAGGAGCGAGACGAAGAGCAGGAGGAAGGCGACGAGAAGTTGGGTGTCGGCTACAAGAGCGAGGGTGGGGGCAGGATGGGCAGGGGGGAGCAAGTGAAACCGCAGGGACCGCGGCTGCAGTCGCTGGTGAGGAAGGAGGGAGGCGAGGGGAGGGAGGGCGTGGTGGAGGGATGGAGGGACGTGTTTGAGGTGGTGGCGCGGTGGCGGCAGATCGCCAACCCCACCGACGCCACCTTCTGGAAGCACTCCCTGCTGTAAGTCCTGTGCCCTCTTCCCCATCCAACGGCCCAGTCTGGGGACTGGAACTCAGGTTAGGGATGGCATGGGGCACTATAAGGCTTGCAAGGGTGGATGGAAAGCGGTGCTTTGGCTAGTCTCACACCCCTTCTTCTCCCTCTCTCCCTATCCTCCTTTCCCCATGCAGGTCCCCGGAGCGCGTGGCAGTGCGGTCCACCACGCCCATCCACGTGTACAAATTCGAGACTGTCAAGTACTACCCCGTGCTCCACAGGTGCGTGCCTGGGTGGGTGGGTGGCTGGGTGGGTCCCATTATTGAGGCGCCATGAGGCGCCTCAATAGCCATCTGGAGACTGCCACCGCACCTCTACTTTTCGGCTCCTGCTATATTGGAAACGATTTTGAGATTTCTTACTTTTGAGTCTCATCTGAGAATCCTCAAAGTGGCTTTCGCTTCTTCTTTTTCTCCTGTTGATTGCACTCCCGTGCAGGGCAGTGGCCCTCACCAGAGCTACTCTCTTGGAGAATGAGGAGGCATTTGATGCCAACTATACTCGCTTTAGCTTGCCTCGCAGCACCTATGGCAGCAAGGTTGGGACATTAAGAACCGTGCTTGCATTTTCAGTGCGATTTTCGGTGCATTTTCACCTATAGGCTGAACGTGGAATAGCTCTTCCCGCACTGTCCGTCTGCATTTCCGTCAGACTTCCCCTGACTGCTACAGCTGCATGCTCCTGCTGCACCATGTTTCCTCCCATCTACCTTCCCCTCCCTAACACCTCTCTCCGTCTCGTCACGTACACCTGTGATTGAGGGCATGGCTGCACAGCATACTGCTATGCTCCCTCGTGCCTATACCCATCTCAGCCCAACCCAGACCATCTTCATCTTTATTCGCTCCTACCCCACACCCTCCTCTCCTGTGCGTCTCTCTCCCCGGACACCACGCCCCTCGTATGGGCAGATAGAGGCGGCAAGGGACCTGCAAGAGCTGCATGCGGCAGTGGGGCAGGACTTCAGCGCGCTCACACTCATCCACAGCGCTCTGCACCCGCGGTGAGTTTTGAGGCGCCTCAGAAGGTGCAAGAGATGCATGCAGCAGTGGGGCAGGAAACACTCTTGAGAATTCTTAGAAGTGATTGATCCCCATAGAGCAGGACTTCAGCGCGCTCACTCTCATCCACGGCACCCTGCACCCGCGGTGAGCAGCGCCGTGCTTTTGTGGCGCCGCAAAAGGCGCTCTGCTCTGCTTTGCACCCATGGCTGAAAGGCGAAGCGAAGCCGCGTGATCGGCACCAATCCGCCTCACTCACTTGCCACCCTGCCGCCATTCTATAGCCACACATGAACCAATGCCCCCATGTTTCGAAGGCTTCGTATCCCCATGGCATGCCAGCCTTCCTTCCCTTGTCCCCTTGGCCTCTTCTCTCCCCCTACTCCCTGCTCGCAGACAGCGAAATCCAGGAACAGAGTTTCAAGTTAAGAGGACGTGAGTGCTCCCTCCTCGTTCTGCCTTCTCCTCCTTCTCTCCTTCTATTCCTCGTTCTTCGTGCCAGCTCGTTGTGTGCGAGCGGTTGATGGGTGCTGTGATGTGCCAACACTGTGCCTGACAGTGTGTGGTGCTGTGTGGTTCTGTGTGGTGCTGTGCGTGGCAGCAACCACTCCTATGACTTCTACACAGAGACTGTGATGGATGCAGACAGGTGGAGCAAGTGCGATGCTGAGATGACTGCAGCATGGCAGGTGAGTGCAGCGCAGTGCAGTGCAGTGTGGTGCAGTGCGGTGCAGTGCAGTGTGTGCAGGGAGCTGAGGTTCTAGGTCCCTGCAACAGCATGAGTGTTCCGCTTCCGTTCCCGCAACAGCATGTTCAATCCGTCCTCCACCTGTGAGCTGCAATCCATGTATCAGCATCTCAATACCTTTTTCCTGCCATTCCCTCTCCAACCCTTTCCGTCTCTCTCTCCCCCTCTCATTCCCCTCGCTCTCCCCCGTCTCTCCCCCCCTTTCCGCGCTCTCACCCGGCCTCGCCAATCCATCAAGTCACTCTGCACGGCAGTGTTGGATGCGCGCACACAAGCCGAGGACCCACAGCTCTACCGCCACCGCATTCAGCACGCCATTCTCCGCCTCGCCTACTTCTGGTGCGCCACACGTGCACCACCACCGCCACGCCTCTCTTTCAGTTGCACCCTGTCTCCTCAACCCCACCCTCTTCTCGCCTTTCCTGAACACTCCCTTACAGTGTATCTCACCCACTCTCGCCACTGCCAGGTAGGGACAATACCCTGAATCGAAGTGAGAATTTCCAGACTCTTGTTTTGTTAATCTCTTTGGACTCGAATGGAAATATATCGATTTCAACGGAGTCCCCTACCGGCCCACGGTTGACCCCATCAGGTTCCAGGTGATGCCACTGACACGCGGGTCCGCCATGGGAGGAATGGTGGCCATCCTGGGCCTTAGCATGGCAGCTGACATGCACACCACCGCTCTCATTCCCCCCAACGTGCATGTGAGTCATGGGATGATGAGGCAGGGGATTGGGATGATGGGGACGATGCGGTGATGGGGTGATGAAATGAAGGATGGGATGATGGGATTCCTCTACGCCTAGCTTGGCCTCTGCTCACCGCCTTCTCAATGTGCCTCGGTCTCTACCACAAGTGCTGCTGTCCTTTTCGCTCAGGGCTCGCTACGTGCGCTCTATTTGTGTGTGAGAATGTGTTTGTGGTGTGTGCACGTTGTGTGTGTTGTGTGCGCTGTGTGCGTTTGTGTGCGTTGTGTATGTTTGTCCCTGCGTTGCTGCTCCTGCTGCCGCCTTACAGGTGGACTGGGAGGCGTTGCTGAGCACAAGGCACGAGGACTTTGCAGCCCGGGTGCACCCGTGGCTCTACGCATCTGTGCAGGCATCGCCATGGCACCTCCCCCTCGTGCATCAAGTGCTCTCCACACCACGCCTCGTGCTCGCTGCTCTCACTCACAGCCTCACCCCAGAGAGTCAATTGAATGTTGATGCTAGTCGCGGTAGTGATAGCATAAGTGATAGTGGTAATGGTAGTGGTAGTGGTAGGTAGTAGTGAGAGATTCAATTCACGGCCGTGATTAGTGGCGATGAGCAGTCCATGTTCATTTATGATTTTTGGACAGTTGCATGTTGTGTCATGTTTGGTTGGTGCTCCTATTTGCATTCAGGGTATGCTGGAATGAAGCGCACAGCCCAAATGCAAATGATTATGGATAGCACTTATTGAGCCATACAGTAGCGGGGCAAACCGCACGGTGCATTCCGCTTTCGTCCGCCCCTCCGTCAAGTTGCTCTGCCGCGCCCATCCCGATGCCTTCTGCGTTTCCGTGTCCTCTCCGCCTGTACCGTATAGCCACGTGCGCGGGTGGACACCCCGGACTTGCCCCGTGGCATCAGATGTCGCACTATGCTCTGCCTACCGCCTCAGCCGCACCACCCTTCATCCGTCGTCCGCTTTTCTCGCCGCCTGTTTCTGTTCCCTCCGCGCCAATCCGCCCGCCATCCCCGCTTCCCCCGCCAGCACGGGCCCCGCCCTTCCCCATTCTTCTCCCGCGCCTCGACGCATTTCCCGCTTGCGCAATCAAGGGGGGAAAATTCGTCAGTAATGAGGGGAGGCGCAACGGTGGCAGAGGCTGTTGTGTGGGGAGCGCGGTGAGATGCGCGGCTGGCGGGGGCCGGGGGAAAGGCGGGGGAAGAGGCGGGGCGGATACGGGGTTCGATGAGTGGATGCGGAGGGTGGCGGAAGGGGGCGGCGGGGACGTGACACTGGCACCCTTGGCGCGCAGAGATGGCGGAACGGGGGAAGAGCAGAGCGGGGAGCGCGGTGAGGTGTTAGCGCGGAAAGATGGCGCAAGCGCGGGGGGAGTGACGCGGGGTGATGGCGCGGGGGCGACGCCAGGAGAAGGGGACGGCGACAGCGGTGATGACGCCAGAAGACGCAGTGACAGAGGCCGTGCTGGGGGGGAAAATGGCGGAGGAAACGACTATGCGCTGAGGGGGGAAGGGGCTGTGGGGCAGGAGGGAGGCATGGCAGATTGGATGGGAGCAGAAAGCAGAGGAAGCAGTGAGTTCGGTGGAGCGGGTGGGGAAGGCGGGGAGAAGAGATGGGGCGGAGAGGGAGGGGGAGAAGGGGAAGAAGGCGCGGAGGGCGTGAGGTGGTTCGAGTGGAGGGAATGTGTGGACGTTTTAAGGGCTCAAATGGAGGGTAGGCAGCTGCAGTGGAATGAGAGGCGCAGGCGGTTCGAGCACGCGTGTGATGGCGCTGCTGCTGCAAGCGGTGGAGGCAATGGTGGTGGTGGTGGTGGTGGTGGTGGTGGTGGTGGCGACGGTGTGTTCTTCCTGGCTCCACCGCTGGTGCTCCTACCTCCCACAGCACCGCAATCACCCCAAGAGTGCGTCGCACCGTGCTGGGTAGGTCGCTCCAATGCCAAACGGGGTTCCTTCTCCAGAGGTTCTTTCTCTTCTCTCCCAGAGTTGCCTTGCCTGCAAGGGGTTGTCTGCACTCCCTGACCCCCCGTCCACGCGCCCCACCACGTCTCCCCCTCCCCCTTACCCATCTCTGCAGGTATATCCGTTACCTCCTCTCCCGCCCCGCCCTCTCCACCTCCCCCCCTCCCCCTTCCGCGTCCCCCTGCGCCCCGTCACTGGCGCTGGGGTCGCACATGGTGGCGCTGCTGTGCGCTGACTCTGCTGCCCTCGCCATCTTCCACCACGGCAGGCTCGCACAACACAAGGTCAGCGCCCGTGCTTCTTCCCCTGAGAAATTCTACGCCCGCCTGTGCTCCCATGCTCCCGTGCTCCCTGCATGCTCCCCATCACCCTTTACTCTTCCCTTTCTCCCTTCTCTCCCCCCTCTCCCGCCTCCCCCCCCCTTCTCTCGCCCCCGCCCCACCCCTCCCCCCCAGGTGATAACAGCATACACAGTGCGGGCGAAGCAGGGGCGGTCGCAGCTGGCGCAGCAGAGGGGCAAGGGCGCGGGGCGCATGAGTGCGGGGGCGGCCATCCGCGCACGGGAGACCCGCCGCCTCTTCTCTGAGGTTGCGCAGGTCAGTCCGTCGCAGCCCAGCGTGCACCATGCACGCATCCATGCCCTCATGCCCTCATGCCCCCATAACCCCCTCCTCTTCAGTGTCTGCATGCATACCCTCCACTCCTTCTCTCTTCCCACTGCCATAGCCTCGCATGCACCCGCTCTCATCTCATCTCTCCACCCTGCCTGCCCCTGCCACCTGCTCCATCTCTTCGTTCGTCTTTACTGCTAGCCGCCTCAAACCTTGCCTTGCCCGCCACACCGTCCTTGAGTCTTTCCGCATTGTTGCACAGCCCTAGTGTTGCAGTGTTTGAACGGGTCGCTGAACTCATTCCTCCGAGTGTCATGTGGTGGCCGTGCTGCTGCGGCGGTGGCAGCGGTGTGTGGCATGGGAGGCGGACATCAGACAGTGCGAGAGGCTCTTCTACAGTGGGGACGTGCGCGCGTGGAATGAGGTGCGCGCGGAATGAGGTGCGCGTGGAATGAGGTGCACGTGGAATGAGGTGCGCGTGGAATGAGGTGCGCGTGGAATGAGGTGCGCGTGGAATGAGGTGTGTCTGAAATGATAATTATGTGCACGTGGAATGTGGGTGCATGCTTGCCGTGCCGCCTGCCTGCCTTGGAGCATGCACGAGTCATCACCGCGTTTTGTCGTGCTGCAGTGCTCTCTCCTTCCATGCTTCAACTTCAACCCATGTTGTGCTCCCTCGTACCCTGTTCCAAACCTATGTGAGACCACACCCCACCACGTCCCATCACGCCTCACTACGCCCCACCATGCCCCACCCCACCCCACCCCACCCCACCCCACCCCACCCCACCTCATCCTGCTGTGCGGTGCAGGTGTTTGCATGCCGAGCGCCGGCCATGCCAGTGGAGCGCAAGGACGAGCGGTGGGTGAAGGTGCCCTTTCACGTTGCCCGCCCCCGCCTCGCACAAGTGCTCCAGTGAGCCGCCACGCTTGTGGGATGGGTGGTGGGATGGGTGGTGGGAGGGACAGTGGGATGGGTGGTGGGAGGGACGGTGGGATGGGTGGTGGGAGGGACGGTGGGATGGGTGGTGGGAGGGACGGTGGGATGGGTGGTGGGACGGGTGGTGGGAGGAAGAGGATTGGGGGAAACGGTGATGGGCTTGAGGTTGCGGGTTGAGGGATACAGAAGCAAGTGAGGGATACAGAAGCAACTGGTTGACAAGACCTAAAGATTCCGCTCGCTGCGCCCTTCTTCTCGCCCACGTTTTCCTGGGAACCGCAATGCACCTGGTTGTTGTTTCCTTGGCCGTCTCTTGTTCCCCCCCGTGCCATGCCCCATGCCCCATTCCCCTTGCTACCCCCTCCCTCTCCTACCACATGCAGTGTCTTCCACCGCCTCAGCCATGGGTGCTTCGGAATGGAGCCCAGATGACTGCAGGGGTGGCCCATGTGGCCCACACCACAAAACGCAGCTTCTGTCACAGACTCTCGAGTCAATCCAAGCAATTATTTTGTTAGTTGTACTCTAGCAGTAGCAGCAGTGGTATTGGGTAGGGTAAGTTGATGCAATTATGCTTAGAAAGCTCATGAATCACTATAGGCGTAGGAAAAAACAATCAACGAGCTAAATGTAATTGCATATTCGAATGGCTCATGTTCAAATCAAATACACCTCTTATCTTAGGGTCCAAGTTTATCAAGGGTGGTCTAAGTTAATCCGGGGGGTCTAAGTTAATCCAGGGGGGTCTAACTTAATCCAGGGGGGCCTAACTTAATCCAGGGGGGTTTAAGTTAATCCAGGAAAGGTCTAAGTTAATCCAGGGTGGTCTAAGTTTATCCAGGGGGGTCCAAGTTAATCCGGGGGGGTCTATGTTAATCCGGGGGGGGGGGTCTAAGTTAATCCTGGGGGGTCTAAGTTGATCCGGGGGGGTCTAAGTTAATATGGGGTGTCTAAGTTCATCCAGGGGGGTCTAAGTTAATCCAAGGGGGTCTAAGTGTTAAGAAGGTAGGGACTAGGAACTTAGAGAGCTAGGAACTTAGGGTTTGGATGGAGAGAAGTTTGGCCAAAGGAAGGGGTTGGACTAGTGAGAGAGATACATGATATAGGGTTAGGGAAGGTGGTCAGGAGGGGTATACCACCAACAAGAGAATACATACTACACTAGCTATACTAATATGCAGTTATATAAAGAAATACAATTTCTGACATCCCCCCTTAACTGCATACAAGCATAGCTAGTGAGGGGCGCTCTACCCTAAGTGCAGACTTCACCGGGCCGCAGCTGGGCCCACCGATACAACACACGATGGAGTTTCCCGCCTGCGGTTTAACCCCCGCAGTGGATGCCTGGTGTGCGCGACTCTGGGTGACCACGCCCAGAAACGACGGAGAAAAGGAACGAACGACAAGAAAACATTACGAAAGTAGAAAACAGAAAAGAAGAGACCCTTTCTCTCTCTCTCTCTTTTGTCCCCCCTTAACCTCTCTCATCCCCCCTTAACATCTCTCCTCCCCCCTTACCTCTCTCCCCCCCCCCCCCCTACAGCAACAAGTGCTGCAGGGAGAGAGGAAGAGGGAAGGGAGGGAGGAGGTGCTGGCTCCTCACAACCTCACACCCGCCACCCCCACATCTCCCCCTCCTCCCCCCCCCCCCACGACGGAAGCAGTGGAAGGGAGGGCGGGCGGGAGGGGGCAGGGCGGCGGTAGCTGCTGCTGGCGCTGGCGGTAGCTGCTGCTGGCGCTGGCGGTAGCTGCTGCTGGCGCTGGCGGTAGCTGCTGCTGGCGCTGGCGCGGGCGGCTGGCGCTGGCGGTAGCTGCTGCTGGCGCTGGCGGTGGCGGCTGGCCGCGGTGGTGGCGTCCGCGCTGACGGGCCACGCTGGCGGCGGCGCCTGCGGTCCGGGCTGGCGCGGGCGCTGGCGACGGAACGGGGGGCCGCGAGGCGACGAAACGGGGTTCGCGGACGACGGGAAGGGGTGCGCCCCGACGACGGAACGCAGGGCGCCGCGGCGACGGAACACGGGGCGCCGCGGCGACGGGAACCGGGCGCCGCGACGACGGAAAGCGGCGCCACGGCGAACGGGCAGGGCAGAACGCGAGCGACGGGCGAACGGGAAAAAAAAAAAAAATGGTGCATTTCGCGCTGTAGCATAGGCGGGCCCATATCTTACAGAAAATAAAATAGGTCCTAAGACCGTAGTGGCTCTGATAGCATGTTAAGAAGGTAGGGACTAGGAACTTAGAGAGCTAGGAACTTAGGGTTTGGATGGAGAGAAGTTTGGCCAAAGGAAGGGGTTGGACTAGTGAGAGAGATACATGATATAGGGTTAGGGAAGGTGGTCAGGAGGGGTATACCACCAACAAGAGAATACATACTACACTAGCTATACTAATATGCAGTTATATAAAGAAATACAATTTCTGACACTAAGTTACTCCAGGGGGGTCAAAGTTAATCCAGGGGGGTCTAAGTTTATGCAGGGGGGTCTAAGTTAATCCGGGGGGTCTAAGTTAATCCAGGGGGGCTAAGATAATCCGGGGGGGTCTAAGTTAATCCAGGGGGGTCTAAGTTCATCCAAGGGGGCCAAAGTTACTCCAGGGGGGTCTAATTTAATCCAGGAGTCATGTTTATCCAAAGGGGTCTATGTTAATCCGGGGGAGTTTAAGTTTATTTAGGGGGGTCTAAGTTAATCGAGAGGGTCTAAGTTAATCCAGCGGGTCTAAGTTAATCCAGGGGGGTCTACGTTAATCCGGGGGAGTTTAAGTTTATTTACGGGGGTCTAAGTTAATCGAGAGGGTCTAAGTTAATCCAGGGGGGTCTAAGTTAATCCAGGGGGTCAAGGTAATTATTCAGAGGGGGTCTAAGTTAATCCAGGGAAGTCTAAGAATCCGGGGGGGGGGTCAAATTTAATCCAGGGGGGTCAAAGTTAATCCACGGGGGTCTAAGTTAATCCAGGGGGGTCTAAGTTAATCCAGGGGGGGTCAAAGTTAGTCCAGGGGGGTTTTAGCTAATCTAAGAGGGTCTAAGTTAATACAAGGGGGTCTAAGTTAATCCGCCGGGGTCTAAGTTAATCCAAGGGGTCTAAGTTAGTCCGGGGGGGTCTAAGTTAATCAACGGGGGTATAAGTTAATCCAGGGGGGTATAAGTTAATCCAGGGGGGTCTAAGTTAATACGGGGGGATCTAAGTTTATCCACGAGGGTCTAAGTTAATCCAGGTGGTTCTAAGTTAATCCGGGGGGGTCTAAGTTAATCCGGGGGGGTCTAAGTTAATCCGGGGGGGTCTAAGTTAATCCAAGACGGTCTAAGTTAATCCAGGGGGGTCTAAGTTAATCTGGGGGGGTAAAATCCAGGGGGGTCTAAGTTAATCCAGGGGGGTCTAAGTTAATCCGGGGGGGTCTAAGTTAATCCACGGGGGTCTAAGTTAATCCACGGGGGTCTAAGTTAATCCGGAGGGGTCTAAGTTAATCCAGGGGGGTCTAAGTTAATCCAGGGGGTCTAAGTTAATCCAGGGGGGTCTAAGTTAATCCGGGGGGGTCTAAGTTAATCCGGGGGGGTCTAAGTTAATCCAGGGGGGTCTAAGTTAATCCAGGGGGGTCTTAGTTAATCCAGGGGGGTCTTAGTTAATCCAAGGGGGTCTAAGTTAATCCAGGGGGGTCTAAGTTAATCCAGGGGGGTCTAAGTTAATTCAGGGGGGTCTAAGTTAATCTAGGGGGGTCTAAGTTAATCCAGGGGGGTCTGAGTTAATCCGGGGGGGTCTAAGTAAATCTGGGGGGGCCTAAGTTAATCCAAGGGGGTCTAAATTTATCCAAGGGAGTCTAATTTAATCCAGGGGGGTCTAAGTTAATCTAGGGGGGTAAATCCAAGGGGGTCTAAGTTAATCCAGGGGGATCTAAGTTAATCCAAGGGGGTCTAAGTTACTCCAGGGGGGTCTAAGTTAATCCAAGGGGGTCTAAGTTACTCCAGGGGGGTCTAAGTAAATCCAGGGGGGTCTAAGATAATCCAAGGGGGTCTAAGTTAATCAAGGGGGGTCTAAGTAAATCCAGGGGGGTCTAAGTAAATCCAGGGGGGTCTAAGTTAATCTAGGGGGGTCTAAGTTGGTGATGGAAAGCGGGAGAATAGGGCGGGGTGATGGAAAGCGGGAGAATGGGGCGGGGTGATGGAAAGCGGGAGAATGGGGCGGGGTGATGGAAAGCGGGAGAATGGGGCGGGGTGATGGAAAGCGGGAGAATGGGGCGGGGTGATGGAAAGCGGGAGAATGGGGCGGGGTGATGGAAAGCGGGAGGTGATGGAAAGCGGGAGAATGGGGCGGGGTGATGGAAAGCGGGAGAATGGGGCGGGGTGATGGAAAGCGGGAGAACGGGGCGGGGTGATGGAAAGAGGGAGAACGGGGCGGGGTGATGGAAAGCGGGAGAACGGGGCGGGGTGATGGAAAGCGGGAGAACGGGGCGGGGTGATGGAAAGCGGGAGAACGGGGCGGGGTGATGGAAAGCGGGAAACGGGGCGGGGTGAAGGAAAGCGGGAGAATGGTGGCGGGGTGATGGAAAGCGGGAGAAAAAGCGGGGTGAAGGCGGGGCGGGGGGGAGGAAAGCGGGGGAACGGGGGGGACGGGAACGCCGGGCGGGGTGATCCGGGAACGGGGGGCGGGGTGATGGAATGCGCGGGAGAACCGCGGGCGGGTGATGGACCGGAGAACGGGGCGGGGTGATGGAAAGCGGGAGAACGGGGCGGGGTGATGGAAAGCGGGAGAACGGGGCGGGGTGATGGAAAGAGGGAGAACGGGGCGGGGTGATGGAAAGCGGGAGAACGGGGCGGGGTGATGGAAAGCGGGAGAACAAGGGCGGGGTGATGGAAAGCGGGAGAACGGGGCGGGGTGATGGAAAGCGGGAGAACCGGGCGGGGTGATGGAAAGCGGGAGAACGGGGCGGGGTGATGGAAAGCGGGAGAACCGGGCGGGGTGATGGAAAGCGGGAGAACGGGGCGGGGTGATGGAAGCGGGAGAACGGGGCGGGTGATGGAAACAGAAGAACGGGGCGGGGTGATGGAAAGCGGGAGAACGGGAACGGGGCGGGGTGATGAAACCGGGAGAACGGGGCGGGGTGATGGAAAGCGGGAGAACGGGGCGGGGTGATGGAAAGCGGGAGAACGGGGCGGGGTGATGGAAAGAGGGAGAACGGGGCGGGGTGATGGAAAGCGGAGAACGGGAGAAGGGGGCGGGGTGATGGAAAGCGGGAGAACGGGGCGGGGTGATGGAAAGCGGAGAGATGGGGCGGGGTGATGGAAGCGGGAGAACGGGGCGGGTGATGGAAAGAGGGAGAATGGGGCGGGGTGATAGAAAGCGGGAGAATGGGGCGGGGTGATGGAGAGCGGGAGAATGGGGCGGGGTGATGGAGAGCGGGAGAATGGGGCGGGGTGATGGAGAGCGGGAGAATGGGGCGGGGAGGCGGGAGAATGGGGCGGGGTGACGGAAAGCGGGAGAATGGGGCGGGGTGACGGAAAGCGGGAGAATGGGGCGGGGTGATGGAAAGCGGGAGAATGAGGCGGGGTGATGGAAAGCGGGAGAATAGGGCGGGGTGATGGAAAGAGGGAGAATGGGGCGGGGTGATAGAAAGAGGGAGAATGGGGCGGGGTGACGGAAGAGGGAGAATGGGGCGGGGTGACGGAAGTGGGAGAATGGGGCGGGGTGACGGAAAGCGGGAGAATGGGGCGGGGTGACGGAAAGCGGGAGAATGGGGCGGGGTGACGGAAAGCGGGAGAATGGGGCGGGGTGACGGAAAGCGGGAGAATGGGGCGGGGTGACGGAAAGCGGGAGAATGGGGGCGGTGATGGAAAGCGGGAGAATGGGGCGGGGTGATGGAAAGCGGGAGAATGGGGCGGGGTGATGGAAAGCGGGAGAATGGGGCGGGGTGATGGAAAGCGGGAGAATGGGGCGGGTGATGGAAAGCGGGAGAATGGGGCGGGGTGATGGAAAGCGGGAGAATGGGGCGGGTGATGGAAAGCGGAGAATGGGGCGGGGTGGGGGGGGGGGGGGGGGAATGTTGGAAAGCGGGAGAATGGGGCGGGGTGATGGAAAGCGGGAGAATGGGGCGGGGCGATGGAAAGCGGGAGAATGGGGCGCGTGATGGAAAAAAGCGGGGAGAATGGGGCGGGGCGATGGAAAGCGGGAGAGTGGGGCGGGGCGATGGAAAAAAGGGAGAATGGGGCGGGGCGATGAAAAAGGGAGAATGGGGCGGGGCGATGGAAAGCGGGAGACTGGGGCATGGCGATGGAAAGCGGGAGAGTGGGGGGGGTGCGACGGAAAGCGGGAGAGTGGGGCGGGGGGATGGAAAAAGGGAGAATGGGGCGGGGCGATGGAAAGCGGGAGAGTGGGGCGGTGATGGAAAGCTGGAGAGTGGGGCGGTGCGACGGAAAGCGGGAGAGTGGGGCGGGGTGATGGAAGCAGAGAGAGTGGGGTGGTGCGACGGAAAGCGGGAGAATGGGGCGGGGTGATGGAAAGCGGGAGAATGGGGCGGGTGATGGAAAGCGGGAGAATGGGGCGGGGTGTAGAAGCGGGAAAATGGGGCGGGGTGATGGAAAGCGGAAGAATGGGGCGGGGTGATGGAAAGCGGGAGAATGGGGCGGGGTGATGGAAAGCGGGAGAATGGGGCGGGGTGATGGAAAGCGGGAGAATGGGGCGGGGTGATGGAAAGCGGGAGAATGGGGCGGGGTGATGGAAAGCGGGAGAATGGGGCGGGGTGATGGAAAGCGGGAGAATGGGGCGGGGTGATGGAAGGCGGGAGAATGGGGCGGGGTGATGGAAGGCGGGAGAATGGGGCGAGGCGATGGAAAACGGGAGAGTGGGGCGGGGCGATGGAAAAAGGGAGAATGGGGCGGGGCGATGGAAAGAGGGAGAATGGGGCGGGGTGATGGAAAGCGGGAGAATGGGGCGGGGCGATGGAAAGCGGGAGAATGGGGCGGGGCGATGGAAAGCGGGAGAATGGGGCGGGGCGATGGAAAGCGGGAGAATGGGGCGGGTGATGGAAAGCGGGAGAGTGGGGCGGTGATGGAAAGCGGGAGAATGGGGCGGGGTGATGGAAAGCGGGAGAATGGGGCGGGGTGATGGAAAGCGGGAGAATGGGTCGGGGTGATGGAAAGCGGGAGAATGGGGCGGGGTGATGGAAAGCGGGAGAATGGGGCGGGGTGATGGAAAGAGGGAGAATGGGGCGGGGTGATGGAAAGAGGGAGAATGGGGCGGGGTGATGGAAAGCGGGAGAATGAGGCGGGGTGATGGAAAGCGGAAGAATGGGGCGGGGTGATGGAAAGAGGGAGAATGGGGCGGGGTGATGGAAAGAGGGAGAATGGGGCGGGGTGATGGAAAGCGGGAGAATGGGGCGGGGTGATGGAAAGCGGGAGAATGGAGCGGGGTGATGGAAAGCGGGAGAATGGAGCGGGGTGATGGAAAGCGGGAGAATGGGGCGGGGTGATAGAAAGCGGGAGAATGGGGCGGGGTGATGGAAAGCGGGAGAATGGGGCGGGGTGATGGAAAGCGGGAGAATGGGGCGGGGTGATGGAAAGCGGGAGAATGGGGCGGGGTGACGGAAAGCGGGAGAATGGGGCGGGGTGACGGAAAGCGGGAGAATGGGGCGGGGTGACGGAAAGCGGGAGAATGGGGCGGGGTGACGGAAAGCGGGAGAATGGGGCGGGGTGACGGAAAGCGGGAGAATGGGGCGGGGTGACGGAAAGCGGGAGAATGGGGCGGGGTGACGGAAAGCGGGAGAATGGGGCGGGGTGACGGAAAGCGGGAGAATGGGGCGGGGTGACGGAAAGCGGGAGAATGGGGCGGGGTGACGGAAAGCGGGAGAATGGGGCGGGGTGACGGAAAGCGGGAGAATGGGGCGGGGTGACGGAAAGCGGGAGAATGGGGCGGGGTGACGGAAAGCGGGAGAATGGGGCGGGTGATGGAAAGCGGGAGAATGGGGCGGGGTGATGGAAAGCGAGAGAATGGGGCGGGGTGATGGAAAGCGGGAGAATGGGGCGGGGTGATGGAAAGCGGGAGAATGGGGCGGGGTGATGGAAAGAGGGAGATGGGGCGAGGTGATGGAAAGTAGGAGAATGGGGCGAGGTGATGGAAAGCGGGAGAATGGGGCGGGGTGATGGAAAGCGGGAGAATGGGGCGGGGTGATGGAAAGCGGGAGAATGGGGCGGGGTGGTGGAAAGCGGGAGAATGGGGCGGGGTGATGGAAAGCGGGAGAATGGGGCGGGGTGATGGAAAGCGGGAGAATGGGGAGGGGTGATGGAAAGCGGGAGAATGGAGCGGGGTGATGGAAAGCGGGAGAACGGGGCGGGGTGATGGAAAGCGGGAGAACGGGGCGGGGTGATGGAAAGCGGGAGAACGGGGCGGGGTGATGGAAAGCGGGAGAACGGGGCGGGGTGATGGAAAGTGGGAGAATGGGGCGGGGTGATGGAAAGCGGGAGAATGGGGCAGGGTGATGGAAAGCGGGAGAATGGGGCGGGGTGATGGAAAGCGGGAGAATGGGGCGGGGTGATGGAAAGCGGGAGAACGGGGCGGGGTGATGGAAAGCGGGAGAACAAGGCGGGGTGATGGAAAGCGGGAGAATGGGGCGGGGTGATGGAAAGCGGGAGAATGGGGCGGGGTGATGGAAAGCGGGAGAATGGGGCGGGGTGATGGAAAGCGGGAGAATGGGGCGGGGTGATGGAAAGCGGGAGAATGGGGCGGGGTGATGGAAAGAGGGAGAATGGGGCGGGGTGATGGAAAGCGGGAGAATGGGGCGGGGTGATAGTTTTGAGGCTAGAAGCGCTCGTTCTGAGCATTTTTCTTATACGAGGTCACGTGGATGCGCTTGTCTAGGCCTCTTGCCAAGCCAGCAAGGGCGTAGAAGGGTTGCGAGCATCATTGGTCACCGGCCCTTGAGAATGAAGAGTGCCCGCTGCACTTCCTCCACGTGTGCGGATCCTAGCGCGTCTTGAGGCTAGAAGCGCTCGCAGTGAGCGTTTTTCTTCAACCAGGTCACATGGGTGCGCTTGTCTAGGCCTCTTGCCAAGCCAGCAAGGGCGTGGAAGGTTTGCGAGCAATATTGGTCGTCGGCCCTTGAGAATGAAGAGCGCCCGCTGCACTTCCTGCACATGTGCGGATCCTAGAGCGTTTTGAGGCTAAAAGCGCTCGTTCTGAGCGTTTTTCTTCTACCAAATCACGTGGCTGCGCTTTTCTAGGCCTCTTGCCAAGCCAGCAAGGGCGTGGAAGGTTTGCGAGCATCATTGGTCATCGGCCTTTGAGAATGAAGAGCACCCGCTGCACTTCCTCCACATGTGCGTATCCTAGCGCGTTTTGAGGCTAGAAGCGCTCATTCTGAGCGTTTTTCTTCTACCAGGTTACGTGGCTGCGCTTGTCTAGGCCTCTTGCCAAGCCAGCAAGGGCGTGGAAGGGTTGCGAGCATCATTGGTCATCGGCCCTTGAGAATGAAGAGCGCCCGCTGCACTTCCTCCACATGTGCGGATCCTAGCGCGTTTTGAGGCTAAAAGCGCTCGTTCTGAGCGTTTTTCTTCTACCAAGTCACGTGGCTGCACTTTTCTAGGCCTCTTGCCAAGCCAGCAAGGGCGTGGAAGGTTTGCGAGCATCATTGGTCATCGGCCTTTGAGAATGAAGAGCGCCCGCTGCACTTCCTCCACATGTGCGGATCCTAGCGCGTTTTGAGGCTAGAAGCGCTCGTTCTGGGCGTTTTTCTTCTACCAGGTCACGTGGCTGCGCTTGTCTAGGCCTCTTGCCAAGCCAGCAAGGGCGTGGAAGGGTTGCGAGCATCATTGGTCATCGGCCATTGAGAATGAAGAGCGCCCGCTGCACTTCTTCCACATGTGCGGATCCTAGCGCGTTTTGAGGCTAGAAGCGCTCGTTCTGAGCGTTTTTCTCCTACCAGGTCACGTGGCTGCGCTTGTCTAGGCCTCTTGCCAATCCAGCAAGGGCGTGGAAGGGTTGCGAGCATCATTGGTCATCGGCCATTGAGAATGAAGAGCGCCTGCTGCACTTCCTCCACATGTGCGGATCCTAGCGCGTTTTGAGGTTAGAAGCGCTCGTTCTGAGCGTTTTTCTTCTACCAGGTAACGTGGCTGCGCTTGTCTAGGCCTCTTGCCAAGCCAGCAAGGGCGTGGAAGGGTTGCGAGCATCATTGGTCATCGGCCCTTGAGAATGAAGAGTGCCCGCTGCACTTCCTCCACATGTGCAGATCCTAGCGCGTTCTGAGGCTAGAAGCGCTCGCAGTGAGCGTTATTCCACCAAGTCACGTAGCTGCGCTGTTTAAGGCCTCTTGCCAAGCCAGCAAGGGCGTGGAAGGGTTGCGAGCATCATTGGTCATCGGCCTTTGAGAATGAAGAGCGCCCGCTGCACTTCCTCCACATGTGCGGATCCTAGTGCGTTTTGAGGCTAGAATCGCTCGTTCTGAGCGTTTTTCTTCTACCAGGTCACGTGGCTGCGCTTGTCTAGGCCTCTTGCCAAGCCAACAAGGGCGTGGAAGGGTTGCGAGCATCATTGGTCATCGGCCCTTGAGAATGAAGAGCGGCCGCTGCACTTCCTCCAAATGTGCGGATCCTAGCGCGTTCTGAGGCTAGAAGCGCTCGTTCTGGGCGTTTTTCTTCTACCAGGTCACGTGGCTGCGCTTGTCTAGGCCTCTTGCCAAGCCAGCAAGGGCGTGGAAGGGTTGCGAGCATCATTGGTCATCGGCCATTGAGAATGAAGAGCGCCCGCTGCACTTCTTCCACATGTGCGGATCCTAGCGCGTTTTGAGGCTAGAAGCGCTCGTTCTGGGCGTTTTTCTTCTACCAGGTCACGTGGCTGCGCTTGTCTAGGCCTCTTGCCAATCCAGCAAGGGCGTGGAAGGGTTGCGAGCATCATTGGTCATCGGCCATTGAGAATGAAGAGCGGCCGCTGCACTTCCTCCACATGTGCGGATCCTAGCGCGTTTTGAGGCTAGAAGCGCTCGTTCTGAGCGTTTTTGTTCTACCAGGTCACGTGGCTGCGCTTGTCTAGGCCTCTTGCCAATCCAGCAAGGGCGTGGAAGGGTTGCGAGCATCATTGGTCATCGGCCCTTGAGAATGAAGAGCGCCCGCTGCACTTCCTCCACATGTGCGGATCCTAGCGCGTTTTGAGGCTAGAAGCGCTCGTTCTGAGCGTTTTTCTTCTACCAGGTAACGTGGCTGCGCTTGTCTAGGGCTCTTGCCAAGCCAGCAAGGGCGTGGAAGGGTTGCGAGCATCATTGGTCATCGGCCCTAGAGAATGAAGAGCGCCCGCTGCACTTCCTCCACATGTGCGGATCCTAGCGCGTTTTGAGGCTAGAAGCGCTCGTTCTGAGCGTTTTTCTTCTACCAGGTAACGTGGCTGCGCTTGGCTAGGGCTCTTGCCAAGCCAGCAAGGGCGTGGAAGGGTTGCGAGCATCATTGGTCATCGGCCCTTGAGAATGAAGAGCGTCCGCTGCACTTCCTCCACATGTGCGGATCCTAGTGCGTTTTGAGGCTAGAATCGCTCGTTATGAGCGCTTTTCTTCTACCAGGTCACGTGGCTGCGCTTGTCTAGGCCTCTTGCCAAGCCAGCAAGGGCGTGGAAGGGTTGCGAGCATCATAGGTCATCGGCCATTGAGAATGAAGAGCGCCCGCTGCACTTCCTGCACATGTGCGGATCCTAGCGCGTTTTGAGGCTAGAAGCGCTCGTTCTGAGCGTTTTTCTTCTACCAGGTAACGTGGCTGCGCTTGTCTAGGCCTCTTGCAAAGCCAGCAAGGGCGTGGAAGGGTTGCGAGCATCATTGGTCATCGGCCCTTGAGAATGAAGAGCGCCCGCTGCACTTCCTCCACATGTGCAGATCCTAGCGCGTTCTGAGGCTAGAAGCGCTCGCAGTGAGCGTTATTCCACCAAGTCACGTAGCTGCGCTGTTTAAGGCCTCTTGCCAAGCCAGCAAGGGCGTGGAAGGGTTGCGAGCATCATTGGTCATCGGCCTTTGAGAATGAAGAGCGCCCGCTGCATTTCCTCCACATGTGCGGATCCTAGTGCGTTTTGAGGCTAGAATCGCTCGTTCTGAGCGTTTTTCTTCTACCAGGTCACGTGGCTGCGCTTGTCTAGGCCTCTTGCCAAGCCAACAAGGGCGTGGAAGGGTTGCGAGCATCATTGGTCATCGGCCCTTGAGAATGAAGAGCGGCCGCTGCACTTCCTCCAAATGTGCGGATCCTAGCGCGTTCTGAGGCTAGAAGCGCTCGTTCTGGGCGTTTTTCTTCTACCAGGTCACGTGGCTGCGCTTGTCTAGGCCTCTTGCCAAGCCAGCAAGGGCGTGGAAGGGTTGCGAGCATCATTGGTCATCGGCCATTGAGAATGAAGAGCGCCCGCTGCACTTCTTCCACATGTGCGGATCCTAGCGCGTTTTGAGGCTAGAAGCGCTCGTTCTGAGCGTTTTTCTCCTACCAGGTCACGTGGCTGCGCTTGTCTAGGCCTCTTGCCAATCCAGCAAGGGCGTGGAAGGGTTGCGAGCATCATTGGTCATCGGCCATTGAGAATGAAGAGCGCCTGCTGCACTTCCTCCACATGTGCGGATCCTAGCGCGTTTTGAGGTTAGAAGCGCTCGTTCTGAGCGTTTTTCTTCTACCAGGTAACGTGGCTGCGCTTGTCTAGGCCTCTTGCCAAGCCAGCAAGGGCGTGGAAGGGTTGCGAGCATCATTGGTCATCGGCCCTTGAGAATGAAGAGTGCCCGCTGCACTTCCTCCACATGTGCAGATCCTAGCGCGTTCTGAGGCTAGAAGCGCTCGCAGTGAGCGTTATTCCACCAAGTCACGTAGCTGCGCTGTTTAAGGCCTCTTGCCAAGCCAGCAAGGGCGTGGAAGGGTTGCGAGCATCATTGGTCATCGGCCTTTGAGAATGAAGAGCGCCCGCTGCACTTCCTCCACATGTGCGGATCCTAGTGCGTTTTGAGGCTAGAATCGCTCGTTCTGAGCGTTTTTCTTCTACCAGGTCACGTGGCTGCGCTTGTCTAGGCCTCTTGCCAAGCCAACAAGGGCGTGGAAGGGTTGCGAGCATCATTGGTCATCGGCCCTTGAGAATGAAGAGCGGCCGCTGCACTTCCTCCAAATGTGCGGATCCTAGCGCGTTCTGAGGCTAGAAGCGCTCGTTCTGGGCGTTTTTCTTCTACCAGGTCACGTGGCTGCGCTTGTCTAGGCCTCTTGCCAAGCCAGCAAGGGCGTGGAAGGGTTGCGAGCATCATTGGTCATCGGCCATTGAGAATGAAGAGCGCCCGCTGCACTTCTTCCACATGTGCGGATCCTAGCGCGTTTTGAGGCTAGAAGCGCTCGTTCTGGGCGTTTTTCTTCTACCAGGTCACGTGGCTGCGCTTGTCTAGGCCTCTTGCCAATCCAGCAAGGGCGTGGAAGGGTTGCGAGCATCATTGGTCATCGGCCATTGAGAATGAAGAGCGGCCGCTGCACTTCCTCCACATGTGCGGATCCTAGCGCGTTTTGAGGCTAGAAGCGCTCGTTCTGAGCGTTTTTGTTCTACCAGGTCACGTGGCTGCGCTTGTCTAGGCCTCTTGCCAATCCAGCAAGGGCGTGGAAGGGTTGCGAGCATCATTGGTCATCGGCCCTTGAGAATGAAGAGCGCCCGCTGCACTTCCTCCACATGTGCGGATCCTAGCGCGTTTTGAGGCTAGAAGCGCTCGTTCTGAGCGTTTTTCTTCTACCAGGTAACGTGGCTGCGCTTGTCTAGGGCTCTTGCCAAGCCAGCAAGGGCGTGGAAGGGTTGCGAGCATCATTGGTCATCGGCCCTAGAGAATGAAGAGCGCCCGCTGCACTTCCTCCACATGTGCGGATCCTAGCGCGTTTTGAGGCTAGAAGCGCTCGTTCTGAGCGTTTTTCTTCTACCAGGTAACGTGGCTGCGCTTGGCTAGGGCTCTTGCCAAGCCAGCAAGGGCGTGGAAGGGTTGCGAGCATCATTGGTCATCGGCCCTTGAGAATGAAGAGCGTCCGCTGCACTTCCTCCACATGTGCGGATCCTAGTGCGTTTTGAGGCTAGAATCGCTCGTTATGAGCGCTTTTCTTCTACCAGGTCACGTGGCTGCGCTTGTCTAGGCCTCTTGCCAAGCCAGCAAGGGCGTGGAAGGGTTGCGAGCATCATAGGTCATCGGCCATTGAGAATGAAGAGCGCCCGCTGCACTTCCTGCACATGTGCGGATCCTAGCGCGTTTTGAGGCTAGAAGCGCTCGTTCTGAGCGATTTTCTTCTACCAGGTCACGTGGCTGCGCTTGTCTATGCCTCTTGCCAAGCCAGCAAGGGCGTGGAAGGGTTGCGAGCATCATTGGTCATCGGCCCTTGAGAATGAAGAGCGCCCGCTGCACTTCCTCCACATGTGCAGATCCTAGCGCGTTCTGAGGCTAGAAGCGCTCGCAGTGAGCGTTATTCCACCAAGTCACGTAGCTGCGCTGTTTAAGGCCTCTTGCCAAGCCAGCAAGGGCGTGGAAGGGTTGCGAGCATCATTGGTCATCGGCCTTTGAGAATGAAGAGCGCCCGCTGCACTTCCTCCACATGTGCGGATCCTAGTGCGTTTTGAGGCTAGAATCGCTCGTTCTGAGCGTTTTTCTTCTACCAGGTCACGTGGCTGCGCTTGTCTAGGCCTCTTGCCAAGCCAACAAGGGCGTGGAAGGGTTGCGAGCATCATTGGTCATCGGCCCTTGAGAATGAAGAGCGGCCGCTGCACTTCCTCCAAATGTGCGGATCCTAGCGCGTTCTGAGGCTAGAAGCGCTCGTTCTGGGCGTTTTTCTTCTACCAGGTCACGTGGCTGCGCTTGTCTAGGCCTCTTGCCAAGCCAGCAAGGGCGTGGAAGGGTTGCGAGCATCATTGGTCATCGGCCATTGAGAATGAAGAGCGCCCGCTGCACTTCTTCCACATGTGCGGATCCTAGCGCGTTTTGAGGCTAGAAGCGCTCGTTCTGGGCGTTTTTCTTCTACCAGGTCACGTGGCTGCGCTTGTCTAGGCCTCTTGCCAATCCAGCAAGGGCGTGGAAGGGTTGCGAGCATCATTGGTCATCGGCCATTGAGAATGAAGAGCGCCTGCTGCACTTCCTCCACATGTGCGGATCCTAGCGCGTTTTGAGGCTAGAAGCGCTCGTTCTGAGCGTTTTTCTTCTACCAGGTAACGTGGCTGCGCTTGTCTAGGCCTCTTGCCAATCCAGCAAGGGCGTGGAAGGGTTGCGAGCATCATTGGTCATCGGCCCTTGAGAATGAAGAGCGCCCGCTGCACTTCCTCCACATGTGCGGATCCTAGCGCGTTTTGAGGCTAGAAGCGCTCGTTCTGAGCGTTTTTCTTCTACCAGGTAACGTGGCTGCGCTTGTCTAGGCCTCTTGCCAAGCCAGCAAGGGCGTGGAAGGGTTGCGAGCATCATTGGTCATCGGCCCTTGAGAATGAAGAGCGCCCGTTGCACTTCCTCCACATGTGCGGATCCTAGCACGTTTTGAGGCTAGAAGCGCTCGTTTTGAGCGCTTTTCTTCTACCAGGTCACGTGGCTGCGCTTGTCTAGGCCTCTTGCCAAGCCAGCAAGGGCGTGGAAGGGTTGCGAGCATCATTGGTCATCGGCCCTAGAGAATGAAGAGCGCCCGCTGCACTTCCTCCACATGTGCGGATCCTAGCGCGTTTTGAGGCTAGAAGCGCTCGTTCTGAGCGTTTTTCTTCTACCAGGTCACGTGGCTGCACTTGTCTAGGCCTCTTGCCAAGCCAGCAAGGGCGTGGAAGGGTTGCGAGCATCATTGGTCATCGGCCCTAGAGAATGAAGAGCGCCCGCTGCACTTCCTCCACATGTGCGGATCCTAGCGCGTTTTGAGGCTAGAAGCGCTCGTTCTGAGCGTTTTTCTTCTACCAGGTAACGTGGCTGCGCTTGTCTAGGCCTCTTGCCAAGCCAGCAAGGGCGTGGAAGGGTTGCGAGCATCATTGGTCATCGGCCCTTGAGAATGAAGAGCGCCCGCTGCACTTCCTCCACATATGCGGATCCTAGCGCGTTTTGAGGCTAGAAGCGCTCGTTCTGAGCGTTTTTCTTCTACTAGGTCACGTGGCTGTGCTTGTCTAGGCCTCTTGCCAAGCCAACAAGGGCGTGGAAGGGTTGCGAGCATCATTGGTCATCGGCCCTTGAGAATGAAGAGCGCCCGCTGTACTTCCTCCACATGTGCATATTCTTGGGAACGAGGCCCCTGGGAACGAGGCCCCTGGGAACGAGGCCCCTGGGAACGAGGCCCCTGGGAACGAGGCCCCTGGGAACGAGGCCCCTGGGAACGAGGCCCCTGGGAACGAGGCCCCTGGGAACGAGGCCCCTGGGAACGAGGCCCCTGGGAACGAGGCCCCTGGGAACGAGGCCCCTGGGAACGAGGCCCCTGGGAACGAGGCCCCTGGGAACGAGGCCCCTGGGAACGAGGCCCCTGGGAACGAGGCCCCTGGGAACGAGGTTCGTGGGAACGAGGCTCGTGGGAACGAGGCTCGTGGGAACGAGGCTCGTGGGAACGAGGCTCGTGGGAACGAGGCTCGTGGGAACGAGGCCCCTGGGAACGAGGCCCGTGGGAACGAGGCTCGTGGGAACGAGGCCCCTGGGAACGAGGCCCCTGGGAACGAGGCCCCTGGGAACGAGGCCCCTGGGAACGAGGCCCCTGGGAACGAGGCCCCTGGGAACGAGGCCCCTGGGAACGAGGCCCCTGGGAACGAGGCCCCTGGGAACGAGGCCCCTGGGAACGAGGCCCCTGGGAACGAGGCCCCTGGGAACGAGGCCCGCGGGAACGAGGCCCGTGGGAACGAGGCCCGTGGGAACGAGGCCCGTGGGAACGAGGCCCGTGGGAACGAGGCCCGTGGGAACGAGGCCCGTGGGAACGAGGCCCGTGGGAACGAGGCCCGTGGGAACGAGGCTCGTGGGAACGAGGCTCGTGGGAACGAGGCTCGTGGGAACGAGGCCCCTGGGAACGAGGCCCGTGGGAACGAGGCTCGTGGGAACGAGGCCCCGGGGAACGAGGCCTGTGGGAACGAGGCCCCTGGGAACGAGGCCCCTGGGAACGAGGCCCCTGGGAACGAGGCCCCTGGGAACGAGGCCCCTGGGAACGAGGCCCCTGGGAACGAGGCCCCTGGGAACGAGGCCCCTGGGAACGAGGCCCCTGGGAACGAGGCCCGCGGGAACGAGGCCCGCGGGAACGAGGCCCGCGGGAACGAGTACCGTGGGAACGAGGCCCGTGGGAACGAGGCCCGTGGGAACGAGGCCCGTGGGAACGAGGCCCGTGGGAACGAGGCCCGTGGGAACGAGGCCCGTGGGAACGAGGCCCGTGGGAACGAGGCCCGTGGGAACGAGGCCCGTGGGAACGAGGCCCGTGGGAACGAGGCCCGTGGGAACGAGGCTCGTGGGAACGAGGCTCGTGGGAACGAGGCTCGTGGGAACGAGGCCTCTGGGAACGAGGCCCGTGGGAACGAGGCTCGTGGGAACGAGGCCCCTGGGAACGAGGCCCCTGGGAACGAGGCCCCTGGGAACGAGGCCCCTGGGAACGAGGCCCCTGGGAACGAGGCCCCTGGGAACGAGGCCCCTGGGAACGAGGCCCCTGGGAACGAGGCCCCTGGGAACGAGGCCCCTGGGAACGAGGCCCCTGGGAACGAGGCCCCTGGGAACGAGGCCCCTGGGAACGAGGCCCCTGGGAACGAGGCCCCTGGGAACGAGGCCCCTGGGAACGAGGCCCCTGGGAACGAGGCCCCTGGGAACGAGGCCCCTGGGAACGAGGCCCCTGGGAACGAGGCCCCTGGGAACGAGGCCCGTGGGAACGAGGCCAGTGGGAACGAGGCCCCTGGGAACGAGGCCCCTGGGAACGAGGCCCCTGGGAACGAGGCCCCTGGGAACGAGGCCCCTGGGAACGAGGCCCCTGGGAACGAGGCCCCTGGGAACGAGGCCCCTGGGAACGAGGCCCCTGGGAACGAGGCCCCTGGGAACGAGGCCCGTGATGGAAAGCAAGAGAATGGGGCGGGGTGATGGAAAGCGGGAGAATGGGGCGGGGTGATGGAAAGCGGGAGAATGAGGCGGGGTGATGGAAAGCGGGAGAATGGGGCGGGGTGATGGAAAGAGGGAGAATGGGGCGGGGTGATGGAAAGAGGGAGAATGGGGCGGGGTGATGGAAAGAGGGAGAATGGGGCGGGGTGATGGAAAGAGGGAGAATGGGGCGGGGCGATGGAAAGAGGGAGAATGGGGCGGGGTGATGGAAAGCGAGAGAATGGGGCGGGGTGATGGAAAGCGGGAGAATGGGGCGGGGCGATGGAAAGCGGGAGAATGGAGCGGGGTGATGGAAAGCGGGAGAATGGAGCGGGGTGATGGAAAGCGGGAGAATGGGGCGGGGTGATGGAAAGCGGGAGAATGGGGCGGGGTGATGGAAAGCGGGAGAATGGGGTGGGGGTGGTGGAAAGCGGGAGAATGGGGCGGGGTGGTGGAAAGCGGGAGAATGGGGCGGGGTGATGGAAAGAGGGAGAATGGGGCGGGGTGATGGAAAGCGGGAGAATGGGGCGGAGTGATGGAAAGCGGGAGAATGGGGCGGGGTGATGGAAAGAGGGAGAATGGGGCGGGGTGATGGAAAGCGGGAGAATGGGGCGGGGTGATGGAAAGCGGGAGAACGGGGCGGGGTGATGGAAAGCGGGAGAACGGGGCGGGGTGATGGAAAGCGGGAGAACGGGGCGGGGTGATGGAAAGCGGGAGAATGGGGCGGGGTGATGGAAAGCGGGAGAATGGGGCGGGGTGATGGAAAGCGGGAGAACGGGGCGGGGTGATGGAAAGCGGGAGAACGGGGCGGGGTGATGGAAAGCGGGAGAACGGGGCGGGGTGATGGAAAGCGGGAGAACGGGGCGGGGTGATGGAAAGCGGGAGAATGGGGCGGGGTGATGGAAAGCGGGAGAATGGGGCGGGGTGATGGAAAGCGGGAGAATGGGGCGGGGTGATGGAAAGCGGGAGAATGGGGCGGGGTGATGGAAAGAGGGAGAATGGGGCGGGGTGATGGAAAGCGGGAGAATGGGGCGGGGTGATAGTTTTGAGGCTAGAAGCGCTCGTTCTGAGCGTTTTTCTTCTACCAGGTCACGTGGCTGCGCTTGTCTAAGCCTCTTGCCAAGCCAGCAAGGGCGTAGAAGGGTTGCGAGCATCATTGGTCACCGGCCCTTGAGAATGAAGAGCGCCCGCTATCGAGATAGTGGAAGGAAAGATAGAACAGAGAAGAGGGTTTGTACTAGCAGCATGCAAGGTACATATAGGAAACCCTAATTTGGGTTGTACTCGCTATAGAGTACCCCACTGCAGGCTAGACAATTACAACATTCTGACACACCCCCATAGCCAAAGTGGGGTGTAATCAGCACAAATAACCAGTCATAGATCAAGTCCACAAATGCAAGTAAAGCTAGAGGCAGTCACAGAGGGCAAGTGAGGAGGAGGAGAGACTGTGAGGGGCGATCTGCTGCAGGCGATGGGCGAAGCTGCAGACACAACGGGCAACAGGAGCGGCGTGCACAGTGGCTACCGAGCGCACGAGGGCACCGGACTACGGGAGTATCTGGCTCCGCGGCTACGACGAGCACACACAGGAGCAACTGACCCACAGGCGACTGGCGAAGCAGGCTCGCTGGGCTACCGAAACGCGCGAGGGCATCCGGACTACTGGCGCTGCTGGCGTCACGACGGCTACCTCCACGCAACCTCCCCCGACCGTCCCACGCCCCTCTCACACACCCCCTGCTGACACCCTAGCTCCACTTCCACGACACCCCCCTTAAACCCTAAACCTCGGCTCCCACACATCCACCCCCCTCAGCGGCAGCTGCAGCAGTGGGAGACGGAGGAGGAGGAGGAGCAGGGGACGGCGCACACACACGGCACCCCCAGAGCTGCCACCCCCACACTCCGCACCCCCAAACCCTAAAAACGGGCGGAACGGGGGAAGGAGCGCGGGGGACGGCGAGGGGGACGGCGCTCGGCCCCCAGAACGCGACCACGGGGCAGCGAGGGGCCGCGCGCGGCTCCCCAGGGCGGCGCGACGGGAGATCGGGGCCGCGGGGGGTCGCGCGCGGCTCCCCAGGGCGGCACGACGGGAAATCGGGGCCGCGGGGGGTCGCGCGCGGCTCCCCAGGGCGGCACGACGGGAAATCGGGGCCGCGGGGGGTCGCGCGCGGCTCCCCAGGGCGGCACGACGGGAAATCGGGGCCGCGGGGGGTCGCGCGCGGCTCCCCAGGGCGGCACGACGGGAAAACGGGGCCGCGGGGGGTCGCGTGCGGCTCCCCAGGGCGACGGGATCGCGGGGCCGCGGGCGACGGGACCGGAGGGCCGCGGGCGACGGGATCGGGGGGCCGCGGGCGTCCCCCACGGTAGGAAACCGCCGTGCGCCTCGGTGCGCACGGCGGGGAGAAAACCGCCGCACGCCCCGAGCGCGCGGCGGGATGAAAATGTGAAGGTCGCGCGCCACGGGGCGCGCGACACAGAGTAGGGCAGCGGAAGCAGCAGTGGGGCCCACAGGCCAGGAGCGTGAACGCTCTGTTACCATATCGAGATAGTGGAAGGAAAGATAGAACAGAGAAGAGGGTTTGTACTAGCAGCATGCAAGGTACATATAGGAAACCCTAATTTGGGTTGTACTCGCTATAGAGTACCCCACTGCAGGCTAGACAATTACAACATTCTGACACCCGCTGCACTTCCTCCACGTGTGCGGATCCTAGCGCGTCTTGAGGCTAGAAGCGCTCGCAGTGAGCGTTTTTCTTCTACCAGGTCACGTGGGTGCGCTTGTCTAGGGCTCTTGCCAAGCCAGCAAGGGCGTGGAAGGGTTGCGAGCAATATTGGTCATCGGCCCTAGAGAATGAAGAGCGCCCGCTGCACTTCCTGCACATGTGCGGATCCTAGCGCGTTTTGAGGCTAAAAGCGCTCGTTCTGAGCGTTTTTCTTCTACCAAATCACGTGGCTGCGCTTGCCTAGGCCTCTTGCCAAGCCAGCAAGGGCGTGGAAGGTTTGCGAGCATCATTGGTCATCGGCCCTTGAGAATGAAGAGCGCACGCTGCACTTCCTCCACATGTGCGGATCCTAGCGCGTTTTGAGGCTAGAAGCGCTCGTTCTGAGCGTTTTTCTTCTACCAGGTCACGTGGCTGCGCTTGTCTAGGCCTCTTGCCAAGCCAGCAAGGGCGTGGAAGGGTTGCGAGCATCATTGGTCATCGGCCCTTGAGAATGAAGAGCGCCCGCTGCACTTCCTCCAAATGTGCGGATCCTAGCGCGTTCTGAGGCTAAAAGCGCTCGTTCTGAGCGTTTTTCTTCTACCAGGTCACGTGGTTGCGCTTGTCTAGGCCTCTTGCCAAGCCAACAAGGGCGTGGAAGGGTTGCGAGCATCATTGGTCATCGGCCCTTGAGAATGAAGAGCGCCCGCTGCACTTCCTCCACATGTGCGGATCCTAGCGCGTTCTGAGGCTAGAAGCGCTCGTTCTGAGCGTTTTTCTTCTACCACGTCACGTGGCTGCGCTTGTCTAGGCCTCTTGCCAAGCCAGCAAGGGCGTGGAAGGGTTGCGAGCATCATTGGTCATCGGCCCTTGAGAATGAAGAGCGCCCGCTGCACTTCCTCCACATGTGCGGATCCTAGCGCGTTTTGAGGCTAGAAGCGCTCGTTCTGAGCGTTTTTCTTCTACCACGTCACGTGGCTGCGCTTGTTTAGGCCTCTTGCCAAGCCAGCAAGGGCGTGGAAGGGTTGCGAGCATCATTGGTCATCGGCCCTTGAGAATGAAGAGCGCCCGCTGCACTTCCTCCACATGTGCGGATCCTAGCGCGTTTTGAGGCTAGAAGCGCTCGTTCTGAGCGTTTTTCTTCTACCACGTCACGTGGCTGCGCTTGTCTAGGCCTCTTGCCAAGCCAGCAAGGGCGTGGAAGGGTTGCGAGCATCATTGGTCATCGGCCCTTGAGAATGAAGAGCGCCCGCTGCACTTCCTCCACATGTGCGGATCCTAGCGCGTTCTGAGGCTAGAAGCGCTCGTTCTGAGCGTTTTTCTTCTACCACGTCACGTGGCTGCGCTTGTCTAGGCCTCTTGCCAAGCCAGCAAGGGCGTGGAAGGGTTGCGAGCATCATTGGTCATCGGCCCTTGAGAATGAAGAGCGCCCGCTGCACTTCCTCCACATGTGCGGATCCTAGCGCGTTTTGAGGCTAGAAGCGCTCGTTCTGAGCGTTTTTCTTCTACCACGTCACGTGGCTGCGCTTGTTTAGGCCTCTTGCCAAGCCAGCAAGGGCGTGGAAGGGTTGCGAGCATCATAGGTCATCGGCCCTTGAGAATGAAGAGCGCCCGCTGCACTTCCTCCACACGTGCGGATCCTAGCGCGTTTTGAGGCTAGAAGCGTTCGTTCTGAGCGCTTTTCTTCTACCAGGTCACGTGGCTGCGCTTGCCTAGGCCTCTTGCCAAGCCAGCAAGGGCGTGGAAGGGTTGCGAGCATCATAGGTCATCGGCCATTGAGAATGAAGAGCGCCCGCTGCACTTCCTCCACATGTGCGGATCCTAGCGCGTTTTGAGGCTAGAAGCGCTCGTTCTGAGCGTTTTTCTTCTACCAGGTCACGTGGCTGCGCTTGTCTAGGCCTCTTCCCAAGCCAGCAAGGGCGTGGAAGGGTTGCGAGCATCAATGGTCATCGGCCCTTGAGAATGAAGAGCGCCCGCTGCACTTCCTCCACATGTGCGGATCCTAGCGCGTTTTGAGGCTAGAAGCGCTCGTTCTGAGCGTTTTTCTTCTACCAGGTCACGTGGCTGCGCTTGTCTAGGCCTCTTCCCAAGCCAGCAAGGGCGTGGAAGGGTTGCGAGCATCATTGGTCATCGGCCCTTGAGAATGAAGAGCGCCCGCTGCACTTCCTCCACATGTGCGGATCCTAGCGCGTTTTGAGGCTAGAAGCGCTTGTTCTGAGCGATTTTCTTCTACCAGGTCACGTGGCTGCGCTTGTCTAGGCCTCTTGCCAAGCCAGCAAGGGCGTGGAAGGGTTGCGA